TGAATTTTAAATTTCTGTTAATGTATCTTAAGGCATAATGGATCACTTCACACTAAAATTGATATTTGAGTAGTTGATCAGATAGATTTCCCTTATGAAGAGCACTTTTTTGTAATTTTGCTTTCAAGGAGCACCGTCAGATTCTATAGACTGAGTATTCTATAGATATACACGTCGCTGGATTAACAAAATTTGTGGAATGATTAACTGTCTGGTGCATATAACACCCTGTACCATAAATATGCCTACTATTCATCAGTCATAATAGTCAGTCCCTCTACCATATGCTTTTTAATGTGCGGTATCAGTCTCAGCTGATATGTTGTTTGCCAGACATATTTCCAGAATTTCGTTTGTCATTGAAACATTCCAGTTAGATCCAAATACTCTTCCTATGTTGCACTTTCTTTTTCTTGTTTTAGTCTCATGATTTTTTACAATGAAGCCAACAATGCCTATTTCCATGACTGGATTCCATGTATCAGTTGTCTGTAATACAAATGTCAGTCATTGAAAGTTCGGTTTTAGTGAGCCAAGTGTTTTTCTACTGAGACACTAGTTTCTCTTTTCCTTAGGCACGAGTCTGATGGCAACAAAACATGCACAATCCATTCCCTATTGTATTGTGTCATAATTTCATGTTATTTATGCCCCTCAGAAAATTTTTTTGATGAAGGCAATGTTCCTTCTGAGGTGCACCATTCCAGACAGTTATCCCTCTCTCTGACAACTCCCTTAACTGAATGAAAATGATTCTATCTATTCATTGCCAAAACATTCAGAAAAGACAGTGTGGAAATTAGACAAAATAGCAATTAATAAATGAAGAATAAATTATAGTATATGCAAAGACAAACAATAAATGCGATGCTACAAAGAGCAATGCTGCAAACAGTAATGTAAGGAACTAAAAACATGCTTCCTCTGAACAAGCGAATTCATAGGAGCTGGCTTCAAACTGTTATTGCCATTTTTAGCAGTGTGCTTCAGTAATTTTAACTGATGAGGAATACATTTCTATGACTAATCACATAGCTGTGAATGCATTGTGTATTATACCGAGAAAGTACAAAGTATAACACAAAACACACATACAAGTTACAGCATGCACATGGTTATAAAACATTGCTCCTTATCATAGTGGCCCCCAATCTTATTCGGTGACCTTAGGATTACGCTAGGATCCCAGCTATGATTTTCGCGAATTCAAGAATCACAAACGTAAAAATAAACGACATAGTACATAATAAAAATAATACATATTCTTTCCTCAGAGTATCTGGTATATAAATATAGGCCTAACCAACCCCGCAGTTTCGCGTGGTTTATGGTTTTCACAAAAATAAAGGTGTTTCAGTGAAATTTGGTTTTGCAACTTACAATTGATATGATTACCTAAAGAACTATTTGCACATGGTTGCTAGAGTTTGGAGTTAGTGACTTTTACTGATATGATTGCGGTAATATGCAAGTACCAAATATTTTTAATAATCAATATGACAAGGCCTATGTTTCTGAAATTGCTTTTAGCAGTTCATCAAAAACATCATTTTTTCCTATGTACCCACGCAAATTTTGTTAGATATGGTTCGAGGTGATCCCCAGCCGTGTCCCATCATTTTTACTATGACACTTTGCTAAAAACCTGTCATTCGGTCTACAAAATTGAACTTATGGTTCACATTGAAGTGACTGTAACCAGCTTCTACAAATTGCTCAGATTTATATCCCTTCCAGCAGTATGAACATATTGTTGATCCAGCTCACACATTTTTTGCCATCTTCCTCTCCAAAAGTGTATTTATTCAAGATTTAAATTACAAAGCACTTGTCACCTTTGCCCAATAATCCATTATTGTGGTTCTTACTTCGAATGAATAAATTTTCATCGATTTCAACTATTTTATTGGGATCGCCTACTCGCCCACTGAATCTCCGCATCAGATGTAGAGTAAATCATCACACTTACCACACGTAATTGTTCAAACCATTTGCAGAATTTTCATACAATATTAAGCTGTTTCTCACACAATTTTATGGATGTCAGCTCCTCCGGACAAAAATATATAAATCTAATAGCACTGATGAACGATATTCTACAACTATTGAATACTCTTCCAATATGGAGGCCTTTCCACTTTTTAACATTGAACCTCCAATTGATTTTGTCATCAACATAAAATTTCATACCGTGGCCATTTTCACATATACATTTGCCAGGCTAAGACCTTTTTCTTGAAAAAAATGATACGGCATCCATCTCTAGATTCGATAAATTAAAAACATTTAATTGCATATTCATAAAAAAGCAAGGAATGTTTTTAAAAACCAATGCAAATTCGAAAACCTTAAAGAAAAATAATGTTAATATAGGAACACGTGGTGAGATATCTGGGTTGCTTAGCAATTCAATCTGGCAGCCACTATAATATGTACCACTTAAGTATTTAATACTGCTTTGTAATTTTAGTTGCACAGCTACTTCAAGGTGGTAATATGCAAGTGATATGGACAGTACATTTTAGCAAGTGACTGATGTAAAACCTAGGATAGTGAACAATTCGGTTCTAATGGAGAAAAGTCTACCCTTTGATTTGCACTGTTTTTCTGGTACACCAAAACGACTCTGTTTTCCCAATGCTATGGCAGCTATCTACAAATCACGTATTTTGAATTATTGAAATTTTAATTGCCCTCAGGTTTTTGTTAACTGCTTGGTCCTAATTAATCACTATCCTATCACTTTCATAAAGATATATGACTGGTTAAATAAAAATAATTTTTTTATAGTTTAGAATGAAAGAGTAGGAAAGCTATAATTGATTGGTGTATGAACGAAGATTTAATTAGTTCTCAGTTGTTTGTCAAGTTTGTACCAAAGATATGTGTCTGATCAAACTTAAGAATGAATTGGATGGCTATGAGAGGGGTTGTTACCACAACAATGCTCGAAATTGGCACTCAACCAAGACTATTGAGAGGAAGAGAAATCATCCGCAAGCGTCAGATGACAATTTTCATTCCTATTTTCTGTAATTTATGTGATATATTCAGCATCGGTATCACAAAAAGAAGGATCAATTCTGGGACTACATGATTTGCATTATGTATGTGCAACAGTTATCTGGCACTGACAGCGAGATGTAACGGATCAGGTGATTATTTTTGTTGATACTGTTTAAACCACTTATTATGGCGGTGGCAATAACTGTACCAAGATTGTCAACCTTTCCTGAAACAGGGCCAGGGAGAGCTTTTTGATCATGATGTCACCCGACAGATCCGGCATGTGCATCACTGATGGTCTGACCAATTAAAGAAAGCTGGTGATGACAAAGATCAGAGCCAGAGGCTGCTGCTTTTAACATATTTCAACATTTTATTTTGATGCTGTTCTAATGCAAGTTGTGCGATTTCTGTTCTCTGCAGTTTTATGATAAAATTTCCATTACCTGAGATGGCTTCGAGTTTAAATCAAGTGAGTACTTGTACAATGACATACTTTACTACTGATCAGCGGAGTGTAAGGAAATGTGCCTGGTTTAGCCAGAGCCATTTCAGCATATGGGACATTTTAAGGATTACGAGGTATTGGTTTGGATCCTTCCAAACAAAATCGCATGGCTATTTATTAGATGAGGATGTGTTTTGTACTTTTTTAAAGGATATTACCACCATCTACACACCAACAAGAAAAGATTAGGGTAAGTCAAAAATTTGTAGATTTTATTCAGTTTATATTTCTTATGTGATTGCATAGTCCAATGTCTTTCGGAGAATTATATCTATAATAGACAATGCACGAAATGCACTAAACTTCGTGATATTTGAAATTGTGGCAAACAGTGGGGTAAACATTTTCAGCATTGGTTTGGATGGCAGCCATTTTGGAAACTGCTTTACGAGACCATAAAAATCGCCAAAAATATCAAGGGGCACCCGACTGTAAACTTTTACCAAAAGGTAGAATTAAGGAAAATCACCATGAAAACCATTTGCATGGAGGCAATAGGAACTAAATACACCTTATTTGGTGAAGAAATTTTTGTTTTGGCTCATAGACAATACAACCTGCATGTCAGTAGTAGCTGTTGAACATTAGTCAGTAGTAGCCATTTGAAACTCTTCTTACTGTACACAAAACCTATATAAGGAAGTGAAAAATGCCAAAATGCAATGCTAAAGAGGATGTCATAAATAACACAATATGAAAAATTCAATTTTAGCAGGACGAAAAAATGAAAAACTTTTGACGGCATCTAATGTGGAATCGGCTTATCAGTGTAAAAAATTAGTTTATTAAGCATTACAATGAGATGGTAAACTACATACCTCACATAACACAGCTTCTTTGGTGCAAGTCTATAGGGTACACGTAAGTAAATATTTATTAAACTAACATTTCTTCAAAAGATAAAAGGCTTTTCTATGCATGGTTAACATAAAACACTTATTTGAACAGAATTTATAAGATATACATGCTCATAAAAACAATACAGATTTTATTACATGTATAAAACATAAGATTTCACTCCTGTATGCATAAGCATATGCCATTTTTTGTTTTTCATCTAAATGACTTCTTACATACCTTACCCACATGACTCATAAATTATTACATACTTTTATACTTGTTTCAGTGATCCTTTATTCTATATGATCTCTTACACACCTCACACATGAGGTTTAGGTGGTGTGTCAATAAGCACATGCTCGTTTAAAACAGCCATTTCGTTAAATGACTTGTTGCATACCCTACACAAAAGTGAGGCTTCTCTCTTGTATGGACGTGCACATGCCTGTTTAACTGACCTTTTTGTCTAAATGACTTGTTACATACATCACACATGTAAGGTTTCTCTCCTGTGTGAATAAGCATATGATTCTTTAAATAACTCTTTTCTCTAAATGACTTGTTGCATAGTTCACATGCATGGTGTTTCTCCCCTGTATGAATACGCATATGACTCATTAAAATACGATTTTCTCTAAATGACTTGTTGCATACCTCACATATATGAGATTTCTCTCCTGTATGAATTTGCATATGCTTGTGCAAGTGATCCTTTCTTCTAAATAACTTCTTACATAACTCACACAAATGAGGTTTCACTCCTCTGTGAATAAGCATATGACTGTTTAAGTCACCCTTTTAATCTGAATGAAATGTTACATATCTCGCACAAGTAAGGTTTCTCTCCTGTATGAACAAGTAGGTGCAACTTTAGATAACTCTTTAGTGTGAATGTCTTGTTACATACCTCACAGACATGAGGTTTCTCGCCTGTATGAATATGCATATGCTTCTTTAAATTACTCTTTTCTCTAAATGATTTGTTGCATACCTCACACACAAGAGATTTCTCTCCTGTGTGAATAAGGACATGCTTATTTAAATGACATTTCTGTCTAAATGATTTGCTACATATCTCACATACGTAATGATTCACTCCGGTATGAATATGCATATGTTTGACTAAATCACCTTTTAGTCTGAATGACTTGCTACATACCTCGCACACATGAGGTTTCTCACCTGTGTGAATACGCATATGCTCCTTTAAAACACCCGTTACTCTAAATGATTTGTTACATATCTCACACACGTGAGGTTTCTCTTCAATGTGAATAAGCATATGATTGTTTAAGTGACTTTTTCTTCTAAATCGCATGTTACATACCTCACACATATGAGGCTTTTCTCCTGTGTGAATAAACATATGCTTTTTTAAATTACCTATATGCGTAAATGATCTGTTACATACCTCACACACATGAGGTTTCTCTCCCGTGTGAATAAGCATATGCTTATTTAAATCACCTTTTAGCCTGAATGAATTGTTACACACCTCACACACATGAGGTTTCTTTCCAGTGTGAATATGCATATGCGTGTTTAAATAACATTTTTGTGTAAATGACTTGTTACAGACATTACATATATGTGGTTTCTCTACTGTGGGATTAGGCATTTGCATGTTTCAATTCTGTTTCAGTCTTAAATAATTTGTCAGCAATTGCACACAGGGGTTTCTATATTGTGTGATCTTTAGTACACTTTTGAAATACTCCTTTTTTTAAATAACTTGTTACATACTTTCTAGGTACACACTTAGTCCCTCATACAGCTAAGTACAGTATGACCTTGATGTCACAACTCCGTGTATACCTTACACTTAAGGTCATGCTCTTTAATACATGAAAAAATGGTTTGGTAAACTAAATTTTTACCAAAGTATTTCTTGGATGCTTCACAGTGGTTCTCTGTGTCTTCGCAAATATACAGCTGATTATTTTCATTAAAATATTAATGAATACTATAGGTGAGCCTAATCTCTTCCGTGATATAAAACACTGCCATGATTTCATAAACCATTTCATAAAAGGTACTGTTACATATCGAACAAATATGATTTTGTTTGTCCGAGTATATATACATCTTTATTCATGAATTTTACGCAACTATATCATATATGCTACATTACGATAACATGAAATTCTGAGTTTATGAAGCCCTTTCAAACTCCTTTAAGAATGTCAAATGGCTGAACAGATTTCACGCTCATCTTTGCTACACAGAATGAAAGGTCCGTATTAATCTGGAATACAAACTACTGTTTCCTTGCTTCGAAATATTACTTTCGTTAGAACCGTTCAAAACTACCGCAGTGTGGTAACAGTGCAGGAAATGCTGTGATTAGTACTGCGTTGCCAAATAGAAATCGCACTTCTAGGCAAAGTTTCGGTAAAGATACTGGTCGTTCTTTCAGTTCAGTTCAGTTATCTGATTTTTTAACAGCATTTAGATTTAGCAGCCCACTGCTTTAACTGTCTGTCGTGGTATTGCCCTAAGAAATGAAAAATGAGAATAAGGCGGTAACCGCCGCGCCTCTATAGGCGGAGCTAAAATAGTACATGAGTACACAATGAAATTTAGAATTTAGAAGTGCATCTGGGAAAACTGTTAGAGCTGGCAACAAAATATGAAAATATATTAAGTTATGTAGTAAACTAGTGATGAACAATCATAATTAAATCACTAATACTTTGAATTTCATAAATTTAAATCAAAATGGCACTTGCCAGGCTGAATTGCAATGAGTTCTACCCAGTGGGTGTGGCTTGAAACGTCGTAGGTCGGCGGCAGTTACGACAGGAGTCACCCTCCCGTAAACTGACCTCGGCCAATGCTTCTTGAAAGTTCACATTCCGGTGGAAAAAGAAAACAGTACTTGCAGGTAAGCACAGTCAAAATAAAGTGAAAATGAAGAATTCACACTTGAAGACACACAATACTTGTAAAGCATAGTAAATTAAATGTATACACAATGAAACAGCAAAAGAACACTTGATGAACCAAGAACACAGTGGTTTTAGTCTTGTACTCTGTAGCTGTTTTCTCAAAACGCGAAGTGGTGAATTTCTGTATATACACAATATGTACATAAAAGCAGATACCTATGAGCTAAGCTATTACCCATTTGGGTGTCGCAAAGTCAATCATAAGTAGTAGAAAACAAATTGAACTTGAAAAATATAAAAAGCTACCAAAGAGCAATGCCATTATCCATTAGGATGTCGCAATGTTCATTCTGAGGTAGTTGAAAATACGAAGAATAAGTGAGCTTTAATCAAGTCCGATGCATCCATGATTTCAAGTCGGTTTTGGTTCCTTTCCTCCCACAATACAAAGTAGCAAAATAGGAAAATTTGATAAGTTTGACTTAATCACAGAGGACCAAGCCGAGAGTTAGGATGGAATCGAATAAAAACTAACATCTATTTTTTTAAAGTTTTAGGTTTAATACTTTTTTGTACTTTTATATTTTATACTTTTTTGGTTTTTTAAAATTTTTTAACACAAAACACTAAAGCAAAAAGCGGATATGAAAAGTTTACGATTATCTCATTGGCATGTGGCTTGTGTAGGATAGTGCAAATAATAAAGGGACGCGTTTATTAGGCAGATTTAAAATCTGCGGGAGATGTAAAGTCCGGTGCTTACGTGCATATAGGTTTGTAATAGATTATTCAATCTACAGAACTGGTGGTAACTTGACGAAGAAAAAAAATTATTTAATATTCAATCATGTTGGAATAACGGCAAAAATGTTGCTACCCAGGAAAAGAGGGCTGAAATATTATCGATTTCATTTGCTGTAAATTAAAACGCCAAACGATAATTTTAATTGTGGTGACCTTATATGAAGCTAACGCATTCTTACCGTTCTTATGTTGTCTTATATGTGATCTGTGGTTTCTTTAACTAAAAAACAAGTTCAAGAGTGTAGAAAAAATGTTTCGAAATGGCGGGGATGCCAAAATCCAGAAAGGTGGAAGCACGTGGATAGTTTTCAGTCAAGCAGTTACAAATTTCGCCAACGTCAGATTTTGTGGTTTTGACAATGGAGTTACACAAACCAGAAATGTAAACCGTTTCGAAAATTAAATAATTCATTTTCACAAATCTAATGATATATTTCATTTAGAGTTAATAGTTTTTAACAAACTTAATAAATATATACTAGATAAATAAAAAAAGGCTATATTTAAGAATTTACCAATTGTGACCGGCTAACAGAATAGTATCTATATCTTCCTGATACAAGCGTATCGGTATATAAGCCGACCAGCTTAATTTAGCTTTATAAAAAAAAGTTTCTAAAATTCTTACCGTATATACGGAAATATACTGTGTTCTTCTGCAGAAAGCATGCGAATGTGTTCTAATTTAACAAGAATTTTGGAACAAAATCGTGTAAGTGAATAACAGCTTCGTATGCGTTTTTCCATGCAATCAAGTGTTACTTCCCTGGAAAAAATGGAACAAAAAACGAGTATCTAGGACATATCCCTACTAAATTTCCTGTTCTATCACCAATGTGTTTTTGAGCTTTTGGACTTTTAACCCTTTGGCCTATAACCACGAGCCTGACTTGTGGTAAAGAATTTGTGCCATAAACAAAAGCCATGAGTCTGACTCGTCGTCAGGAATTTGTGTCATAAACAAAAGCCACGTGTCTGACTCGTGGTGAGGAATTTGTGCATAAAATGCCGCGTATTATTAGAACAAGCGGTTGGTGTTGGTGTATTTAATTATGGCAAAACACACGAAGGCTATCTGCCTAAGGGGGGATGCCTTCGTGGAGGACTTTCTAAGGGAAACTGGCTCGTATACACGTTACACATGGGGAAAACCACGAAAACGCCCATGCAGCCAGCCCGTTCGCGAGATTCGAACCTCGAACCGAACTACCAGTGTTCAGCGATTTTACCGCTCGGCCGCTGGTGGGCCCAACAAGCGATTGGAGTTATTCTACATCGAATATTTTTCCTTTGATTGTAACGTCAGTATTTTTTTTTCAGTTATTTCTGACGAAATTGGATGATCTGTTACTTTAGTTCCCCGTAAAGCTTCGTTACGTTCACACATTTCATATACAATTTCGTATAAAGAATTAAAAAACTCTTATACCCATCACATCCATCGTGCAATTATGTTTTTCAACTGTACAATTGATTACGATTACACACAATTGATTATGTTTTAAAATTACTATTTGTACCTAAACATTGTTTATTATTTCACCATTCCTTTCGTTACACTGAAATGTATATGTCATGAAAAATATACATTTTGCGCCAGTTCGGGTACACGGCTGAACAATTGAATGGCACGGCACGCGACCGATTTTCTTGTTTACTATAGCTCGCGCAATTGGCAGATATCGTGTAGTCCAAGGGGTTAAAAAGCGGTCTTTCTTAACGTCGACATACAACCTAATTAAACTTTGGAAAAGATGTTCGAGTTCTTCCGATAATGGTAAGCGCTTTATTGTTGTGGAAATGACGGTGTAGAAAAACAGTAAAGAAATATCAAATAGGTCATTTAAAACATAACAATTTTAGGTAAACTATTTCTGTAATTAGGGTAAAAAATGTACGAAAAGCCTCTGTACGTACCGATGTCACGAAAAAGTCTTCTGAATCTCTTTTGAATCCATTTTATAATCCGTTTTGAAAAATCATCAGTTTAGGCAGCCATAATTTCCGTTCGGTGTTCTATCGAACAGAGCGAGAAATAATCTTTTAGAAGAACACTACTAGTCTTTTGCAATACCGTTCCTGCGTATTTGTCGATCAATATGCAGATTAGCCATTGTGGTAGCTCCCTTACAGCTTATTAGGTAGTGAATTTTCTTATATAATTTATTAAAAGTGTGCTAGGAATGTCTAAGTCCATCATAATTTTGAGATAACACACACACACAAATATTTCGGCTCCAAACTTCTTAAACCTTTCGAGACGGCGCGCCTGTGTTTAAGACGTTCTCTCCAGACGGACGAGAGTCTAAAGGAATGCTTCCACAGGACTGGAGATTTTACAGCGCTAAGCTTTAGGGAAAAAAAAAATAATTAAAAAAGTTCAAGTCATAATATTTGGTGGTACCATTTTACATTATTACTTAGGCTATCATGTACTTTAACATTTAATAATTTTTTTTTTTTTTTAATTTACATGAAAAATATTAAACGATTCTTACTTTAGAAATTTTAAATTTAAATAAAGTTTTAATTGGCAAAACACATTGATAAGCTTAAAAAGTAATTAAAAGACAGTATAAGAAAGATTATTTACCAGAAGTAACAAAATCTTTCACGGAAAGTGGAAGGCAGGCACTCAGAGAGCTCAACCTCTGGCGACACGTGACACGCCCTGCTTGCTTTCCTTTCCCATCCTGAGTCATGTTTCTCTCATTTTTAGAAGAAGGTCAAATCTACATGTATCTCAAACCCTACGGACATGCAAAGCCATTTTGTGCCAAAAGTTGTAGTTTTTGAAATGTTCTAAGACACTGGAACGAATATGTGACGAATATGACACGAAAATGTGACGAATATGACACGAATATGTGACGGGGGGCACAACAAGAAAACGCTTTGGCACGCCAGCGTGCCTGTCGGGAAAAGAATGCGTTGCTTGTTGGAACGTATGCGTGACAATCAGCGCCAGAGAGCTAAGCATCCCATGCTTTTAAAATCTCGCAGACGATTAGAATCGAAATCCATTTGATAACGAGTATTTTGTCGAGAACAGCTTACCGGGTAGTATTAGAAAGCATACATTTATGCTTCCGTTAATTTAGAAGCAAAGCACGTTACGTTCTGAATGAAGCAAACCGTCAGACCAAGAAATCTAAATCATGGCAATGTAACATAAAAATGAAATCTATACGAATGTGAAAACGCAGCAGATGCATATGCGCTTTGTTGGATAAAGAAAATCCATTGGATCAACAAATTAAACACGTTCTGAGATGGATGATGTAAATGAAATTATACTTTTCAGATGCTCAAGAGAAAAAAAAAAGACCTCAAAGTTTCCAGATTTTATATTACGTACAAAGGGGGGGTGCCTTACTTTTATTAATTAAATATCACATTGTTTGCACTTAAGCCATAAAATTAAATTCAACAGCAATATCGCAAAATAATTTTAAAATGGGCATATCTTTTAGAATCTCTAAAACATAG